CGGGCTTCCCGCGCCTGCCGGCGCTGGGGTGTCTGCGCGAGCTCGATGTCAGATGTCAAAAATAGCTTGAAGGAAATGATGCGAACATCCCCCGCAGTCAATGTTTTTCACTCAAACGCTACGTTCTCCAAAAATTAACTCTAGCAGCTCTTCCTGAGGTACCCTAAAATAACAACTTAGTATTTAATGAACGTTATGGGGGGGATTAAATTAGGCTAAACAGTAGCTGGGTTTCAGACTTCTCAGTAGTGGCTGCACAGAAGTAAGGCCGTGTTTTTAGACCAAATAAGAAATCTCTCCTTTGAGGATTGATTTACAGTCCTCCCGAATTTTCCATGAGGTCCATAACCAAGGGAAACAGCCTGGCAGGAACAGTCATGTTCCCGCTACTGCCCAGTTGTTATAGTGGTATGTCAGGAGGTTTGAGTAAGTGGCAGTATTTTTCTTTTACCACGCATGGCAGCATGTCTCCATATCTACTTGTAAAACTTTCTCCCATTTTGCTTTGCATCCTGAGCTGCTTGGGCACAGCGTATTAACTCTTCTTGAAGTACAAACTGAAGAGCACAAGTGCCAGAACATTTTTGTCAATGGTTTCCAAAACTATGGAATTTCCTGCCCAGCTACATCAGATCAGCCAACAACTTTGTAATTGCTAAAAACAGCCTGTTGATTTTCCTCCCAAGTGCTTCAGCTGGCCTGGCTGAGTTTTCTCTTTTCCACTGTCTCGAGATGTTTCTCTCATTGTGCGCTGTGCTGGATTTTTATGGTCAACATATCCTATAGCAAACAATTTCGGGCTGATGGTGGGAGGGAGATTGGTTTTGGGTTGGAGATTTGAGACTGGGTGCCAGGAACGCCTCTGTTCCTGTACCGGATCGGCTGCTAAATCGGGAATCCACATAAAGCAAAGCCACACGAAGAGTGACGGCAGGGTGATTTGATTTTTCTGTGCAGAGAAGGAAGCAAGCTCCTTGGCCCGCTCGTGGCAGCCGGGGCTGCGTTTGCAGGCAGGCAGCGTGCTGGGGCGAGGGGTGCCCCGAGCACGGGAGCCTGACGCTCGGGGGCTGCTGGCTGACTGGGGACCACGGGTTTCTGCCGGAGAGGGACCCGGGCTGATATCTCT